GCATGCTGAAAGAAATGTTTGAGGAAGATTGAGCTGACATCCAGCTACGGAATGCTGGGGAGGAGGAAAAGACTGGAAGCAGAGGCATGCGTTAAGAGACGCTTGCAATCATCACAGGGCGAGGTAATGAGAGTGTAAGCGGGGATGATGGGAATGGAATGAGAACCAGGGGAGGACCTGAAAGACACAGAAAAGGCTCCTCTTGGCAGGGCTGTCTTGCTGTCAGTGAGATTTCATCTTGACCTATTTCTACACATGCTGGTATCAATCATGATCCCCAGATATTTTTACCCATGGCCCAAACTGCAGAGAAAGACATAATTAGCAATCCTTTTGACTCATCTAGGGCCTCTGAGAGTGAATCATACCCTCTGCCACCCAATTATCTACCATAAACATAGTTCAACCTCCAAACTATTCTAAGCAATGGTTCTTTATAACGTCCGTTCAAGGGCTGGCTTCTCCATTAACATTGGACTAAGCCCAACCTCTTTAACTTATCTTTTAAGAATCCCCCATATTTTTCTCCTCCACCAAAGATAATCAATCTTAATGCACATTCTTCTGTAATGTAACAGTAAACAGCCTTTCAGAATCAGATCATAATCTTTATTTATCCCACGCATGCTAAGATCAAAGTAGCATTTGACTTCATAGCATCTTTTAAGATGTTTCAGAAGTACAATGCCCTCCTCAGTTTAAAGAACTGGTTGGTTTCTTTGTTCAAGACCAGAAATTCATAGGAAATTACATTACTGCATGTCAGGAGTTAGGAAGATAATTTACGGAAAGCCATTGGTGAGAAAAATCAAAGTGGTCCAGGCAGGCAAAAGACAGGCATGGAGTAGAAAGTGTGAGATGCGGAGGTCAGCTTCAGGGTAGGTGAGAATGCAGGAAATGAGGCTTGAAGCCACAGGCAAAGGCGTGGAAGGTCAAACGGGCTGACAACTGTTCCCCACACAGCCACGCGCAGCATGAGGACATTGTGGACAGTAACAGGCCACACATACAGCCATGGACCTACAAACTTGTAACGCCATTGAGCATGGTAGCACGAGTCCACAACCCCAGTATTCTGGGGGCTGAAACAGTAGGGTTGCCTTTTGGGATGTGCCATATGTTTGAATTTGTTTTGGTTTCTATGCTTATGGGTGCTTTGCCTGTATGTTTGTCTGGGTACCACATGTGTGCACTGGCGAGGCCAGAAGAGGGACTCAGATGATACCTTGGGATTGGCTTTATAGAAAGGTGTGAGTCACTATGTAGGTACTGCAAACCGAGCTCGGTTCCTTTGCAAGAGCATCCAGTGCTCTTACTCTCTAGTCCCGAGATGTGTCAATTTTCCAAGCAGCACATGAATGTACATACTGTGAAAATTGTTGCATCTTCCCACCCCACCCCAGCCACTGAGACACTTAAGGTCAACTCCAACCGAGCATGTCTGCTTCAAGCCTTATAGACACACATTGTATGCAGTCATCTTGACATTCTACCCCAACCTTGCTCTGCATACTTCTCTTCCCTGTATGCTTTTCACCCACTGCTCCAGCCCAATGGTGAAGAACCACCTGGCACTGTTGTTGAATCTAGTCTTGCCACCGGTGGCGGAAAAGGCCCCTTGTAATTGTTCCTCTGCCATTTCACTTTTGTTCCTCCTCCAAAGAAAGAGCCCTGACTAAGTGAATTAAGAACCGTATTTTGAAACCGTCCATGGTACCATTCTGTTTCTCTCCAGCGAACACTTAAAACAGACTGGGTGTTACAGCTGAAGAAGCAGAAGTTCCTTCTTTGAGGATTGGTTTATAAACAGCATGGTTGAAAATACACCCCAGCTCAGGGCTTTTTTTCTATAGCTGGGGATGAAGAAATGAACAAAGCCAGGGCCCCAAAAGACCAATATAGTTGGCAGCTGCCAGAGACAGTTTCATACTTAGCATGGTTAGCTGGCTAGAGATTGGTTCTATTAAAAGACCTTGTTTTCTCTGCAAGAGAAAAGTTTGAATACATTAATTCCTAACTGAGAGCTCAAAGAGGCTGGACATGTAACGAGAAAACAAGCTAATTACGAAGCCGTTTTCCAAGCAAGGTCAAAGATGTCCACCTCTAAAAAGAATCTGCAAATCTAACAAGAGGCTTTGTTTTGAAAAATAATTTTAGCGAAGGAGCAATATATTTCTGCATGTCTGTCACCCCAGACATGGGGTGTCCCAATGTTTCATCAGAGCCATGTATTCACTTATTCATATGTCTGTTAATTGAATGTCTAGTGTGTGCTGGATGCTCTGCTTGCTAGATGCTGGGAAAACAAAGACATTCTCACCCCTGAGGATGTCAAAATGTGAGGGAAACAGTGTTTTTAAATATGTTGAGTGATGTAGCAAGACTATGCACCACTCTTGGGCTTGGGGCCATGACCGAGTAGTAGATATTGACTCCACTAAGTAGGTAAGGGAACTGTGCAAATTAGATAGCTCAAAGCAGATAAAGAAGTGGTTTCTGGAAAGTGTGGATAAGCTACAAGATAAGATATCCATTGTGTCTCAGCACATCCCAGAAATCAATCCATTGAATCACCAAGAGTCAGAAACAAGCTATGCATCAGTAATTCAAAACAATGGAATGCATGTCAAGAACTAGGAAATCTAGCAGAGATGTAAATAAACCTGAGGATACACAACAGGTGAGATATGAAAATGCAGGAAGTCTCGGGTTAAGGTGGGTTAGTGATCTGGAACCACAGACATCCACAAGCTCATCGTGATGACAGAGCTGGAGTAAGCCAGATCTTAAGACTAACTCCCATCTGTCTTGAGTGCACCCTGTGCCAGGCCTTTGGCTAATCACTTCCTATAAATTATCCCATTTCATTTCCCATCTGAAACTGAGAGGGTTGTTTATAGCTGAGAAAATTGGGACTTGATGCCCTTAATCACGTCATGTTTCTGGTAGAGCCTGGCTTACAAGTCCATGCAGAGCAAGTCTACTTACTTCCATTAGGAAGGCATACTAAAAGGGTTTCGGAGAAAGTGAGGAAGCTCTGACTGCAGATTAGAACATACTGGCTAGGATGAGGGGAGTGAAGATTAGGGATGGGCAATAATAGTTCAAGTGGGCTCTGATTAACTTGTCACATTAGATTTGGAATGGCAACTATTGTCATTGTCTTCACTGTCTTGTACACACCAGGAGTTCTGTCATCGCACCCTTGCTACATCACACTTGCTACACACCTAAGATAAAGATTCTAATGACTGACCATTTCAGAAGGTGAACAAGAGCATAATTAAGTTTACTCAGCAGTAGTGAAGGATAGAGGGTCTCAGGCTACAACATGAAGCCAACTCTTCTGCAAGGATGAATCCCTTTCTATCACAAAAAACAACCAGGACTGAGGTCCTGCTCCACATCTGCCATAGAGAGGACAAGTGGGGCCCTAGTGACAGTGACATGGAAGTAGGTGTGTACCTGCCATTAGTGCCAGGCGGGATCATAGCTATCATTCAATGTTTTGTAAGAACAAAATTTAAATGGAACATTCAGTAAATCACAATTGTTTAAAATACAGTGACTTTGTTTGGGAGTTCTGAAGAAATTCCTTGTCAGAAGTCTAGTTCAGACATTACTAAATAGAAATGAAAGACCAGGAGTTCAGGAAGAGTGGACAAACAGGGAGAGACTCTTGAAAAGTGTTAGCCAGTTTTTCAAGATGAAAAAAATTCTGTAGATGGATGATGGTTTTTGTGTAACAACATGTGTAAGACTTAATGCCACTCACTGACCTTTACACTTAAATGTGTAAATACTAGCACCGTGTACATTTAACTGCAATTAAAAACCAAATTCTAGGGACTGGGGACACAAATCATCAACTAAGGGTGCTTGCTGCTCTTCCAGGGGACCAAAGTTGCACTGCTAGCACCAACACCAAGTTGATCACAACCGCCTCTACTTCCAGTTACAGGGGATCCAGCACCCACTTCTGGATTCCGAAGGCACACACCCACATGTGGCATACCTACACACACGCATACACACAAATAAAAAAAATGTCTTGAAAAATAAAATGTTAAAGTTTGCTTAGCTGCAAAAACAGAGGTCTGTACGAGAGAGCATGTACACACATTCTTCGTTTTCTTTTGACGCAGGATTTCACTATGTAGCCATGGGTAACCTGGAACTCATTGCAACTTGTGGTAATCTCTTTCCTCCTTCCACCACGTGGGTCCTGAGGGCCCAAGAAACTCTTAATATAGCCAGGCATGTGGCATTTACGGCAAAAACAATGTTGGAGAAAATGCAGAACTTTTCGGCCCCATACCCCAGCAACTTTGAAGATGGGATTCTAGTGTTGCGAGCATGCTCACAGTGATAAATATTAACACTCTTTGAGGCTTCGTATAGATGTATTTCCCTCTGCAGATCCAAAAGTGCCCACTTAACCCTGACATCCACTTTCCAGAGAAGTCTGGGGAATGAAAAGTCATGCTAAAACTAACTGGACTCCGTATTTATCATCAAACACCCTTCCGACTTGTTTCCTTTTCCTATACTCCCACCACCACCACCACCAAACACACACACCCGTTTAAAATCTAGCGTGTCTGACATATACATAGTCACGGTCTTCCACCCAGTACTTGTTTCCCTTCCTTTTTAAATTTTAATTGCATTTTTATCAGGGAGGTGTCAGAGGCCAGAAGAGGGCGCAGGATCCCCGGAGCAGGAGTTACCTTGGACCTCTGGGAGGGCAGCAAGTCCTCTTAGCCCTGACCCATCCCTCCAGCCCTATCTTGGACAACGGTGGTACCTCCAACTTGTTTGGTCAATTTTCCAGTTAACTCAGCAATCTGACACCAGAGGGGACGGTCACTCCCGACCGCTCTTAAACGTCGAGGAGGCAGCCACACCTAGCTCACACGCGGAGAGCACGGGTGGAGGCCGCTGAGATCTCGCGAGAGTCAAGGCCCTCGTGACTTCTCAGGCACCAGGAGGTGGGGGCGGAGCACGGCGCTCAAGCACTTCCGCAAAGATGGCGGCGGCTGCGGGGAGAAGCGCTCGGCTGGCGGCTTGGGGCGGCAGGCTGCGGCGCGTGCTCGCGGCCGGACGACAAGCCGTCCCGCGTGCCGGCCCCGTGGCAGCGGCTGTGGCCGGCGTGGCCCTGGCAGGGGCAGGAGCGACGTGGCACCACGGCCGCGTGAAAGCCGCTGCGCGCGAGGGCAGCCTGACGGTGCTGGCGCAGGTACAGCCCCGCCCTCGGACGCCCCTGGGAGGGAGGCGCGGGAGACCCCAGGCCGCTGCGCGTGCCCGGAAAGCCGGGGAGGAGGGCGGCCGGAGGCGGGGGACGCGGGTGGGCGTGGCTCGGGGCCGGCGTCTGCGGGAGAAGGGGCGAGCTGGTCTGCGGGCGCTGTGTGTCCCCGGCCTCCCCGGGAGGGACATCTGGTAGCCTCTCTAGCGAAAGGCTTCCTTGGTCGCTGCTTTGTGCGGAGCGGTGGAGTCGTCCTGTTAGGTGACTTTTCCAGTCATGAAACTATCAGTTATAAAAGTTAAAACAGTTGGTGGTTGTAGATTCTCTATGTTCTAATGACGACTATTACATGAGCCTTAAGCGTTGATGTTTTAGTGGACCCCCGTCTACTCAGTGAAACTGGTTTTCTTAAAACCTGGGCTGCCAGTGTTTAGTGCCCTATTTCAAGGTAAATATTGCCTTGTGAAAACTCAGGGAAGTTTGGAAGTGCTACCTAAAATAGGGAGTGTTTGGTTTTCATTTTCTTAGAATTAAAAGTAGTACTTTATTTTCCTTATATGTTAGGTTTCTATTATCTAGGTCTAATGGAAAACTCAAGAAACAATACAGCAGAAAGAAAAGCAAACCTTTCAGACTAAAGGTTGGTAAATGTTGGTAGTATGAAGATAAATATAGCTTATGCATGTGTTGGCACCAGTCTCGCACCACATCTGATTAGAGAGGCAGAGAGAACTTCTCATGCAATGTAGCCTTCTGGTTAAGTTTTCCTAAGATTTATTTTTATTTTATGTGTATGAGTATTTCGTCTGCATGTATGTGTATACACTGCAGGCAGGCCTGGTGCCCAGTTGCCAGAAGAGGGTATCGGCCCCTGGAACTGGAGTGACAGGTGGTTCCAAACCACCACGTGAGTGCTGGGAACCGAACCCAGGCCTCTACAAAAGCAGCAGGTGTTCTTAACCATCTTATGTCAGACAAATTTATTTTTCATTGTTGGTTTTTCTGCTTGCATATTCAATTTCATCCTATTCAGAACCTCAGATTAATTTTCCACGTGATGTTATTTTGACTTAGAAACTACTAATGCCTTGAATAATAAATTTACTTTTTCTCCCCTGTTGCTGAGTTTCCCATATACTACGCAGGTAAGGTCTGTTGACACAAGCTCGGTCTGCTCCTAGGACGAATAGAAAATGAGTTTTTATGCTTTTACTCCCAGGGTGGAATTCCTTCCTCGGCAGTGGCTGAAAACTAGTGCACTCGGTGTAGCTCTGGCTTGACGTTCTTCCTCTAAGGCAGTGATTGGAATGTGTTTTCCAAGGGGGACCTGTTAACCCTCCCCCACCGTTTGGGGCACATGTGTGCATACAGTTTTATTTTGTGTTTATTCTACTTAGTATCACATGTGGATCTAGTTTAAGAATAACCTTCATTTCCGCTTATCACACTAAATGATGTAAAAAATGGTGAAGTTGTGTTAATGACTTCCTATTCTTTTCTGTTTTCTTCCATGGTGACCAACAGCTTGAGGTTTGTGTGGGGTCAACAGGAATAAGTGTAGATGTCCAGGTCATGAAGGAACAGACAGGTTGGAACTCTTCTTTCTTTCCCTTCATAATTATTGAAATCCTTTGTACTAAGGATGTGTGACCGCAGAGAGCAGTTTTAATGCTGGCTGCCCATTAGAGGGTCCTACAAGAGCACCCAGCACCCTCCTGCTCTCCTGAAGGGATGAGAAATAAATGCTTCCTGGGACTCCTGGGAATTCATTTGGCTAAAGGAGTGTAGGTAAAGGAACACCTGCTCAGAGATCTACGAGGAAGTTTGACTCAGCAAAGGAGTGAGCTATGAGCTGGGTGTGTGCAGCGGCCTGGAATGTCATTGATCACCTAAGCCACAGTGGCAAGATAAGGACTGTAGTAGCCTTGGCAGGAGTTCTGCAGTTTTGTGGATACCCACCCCCACCCCTACCCCACAGAAAGCGGCTTAGGTAGAAGTTACTTTGTTTTCAGTGGCCTGTGATTAAACTTGTTTAATTAGAAGTACAAACAAGGCACACTAGACCAGCTCCTTAACTGTGGGTGGCGCTTTCATGCGGGGCCATCACTGGATGAGGAATTGTTTAAACAAACAAAGAAACATAAATACACAGTGAATCTCCAGCACTTGTAGCACTGCTTGTCTACGTTACAGCATATGACTTCACTGGAGCCTTGTTCTGAACACAGCTTTGGCTCAGATTCCAGACTACTGTGTGTTATGAACTGCAGTATTTTTACTATATGTACAAAGTTTCCTACTCTTACAGAAACGTAGTGGTTTATTAACAGAAAAGAGGCATTCAGTATGTTTCTACCATCATTCCTCGGTGTGTATCAAATTACTATATCTGTAATTGTATTGTATTTAAATACGTGATTTGAAAAATTCATGTTACTGATTCTTAAAAGTCATTACATGAATTTTGATTTGGGATTAAGACATAACTTCTAACAATTTCTGAAGTGCTCCTAAATGCTTACGAGTCTTTATACATATTGCGTGTTTATTTGATAACTAGAAAAGCAAAGTGCCAGTGAAGGCCCCCCCCCCCAAAAAAAATCATTGAAAATGTTCTACGTCCTGCACTGTCAGATCCCCAGCCAGGATTTAAGAAGCATACCTATCTTATTAAGTACTTTTAAATTTTTATTACATTTATTTGTATTGGTGTGTATGGGCTCAAGTGCTCTGCACCTATGGAGGCCAGGGGTGGTGGAGTCTGTTCTGTCCTTCACCGTGTTGAGCTTAGTGATCACACTTAGGTCTTCAGTCTGAGCAGCCAGCTGCTCTACCCACTGAGCCACCTCACAGACCTGTGGTTTTGGTTGTTTGGTTTTGTTTTGTTTTTTTTTTAATTTTTTTTCATGTGTATGTGTGTGGAGTTTGTGCTTGCATGTAAACATGTGTATGGGTACAAGTGAAGGGCTGAGGTAATGTCAGGATCTTTCTAGAGCTTTCAGACTTTGGCCCATCTTGTTAATCAATCAGATTGCTCCAAGAAACCCATGTCTCCCTTTCTGACTGAAATTACAGGCAGGCTACCACACCCAGCTGAGGGCATTTATGGATTTGCATGGGCTCTGGGAGCTAAACTGTGGTCCTCTTACTTGCTGCAAGTACTTTTAACAGCTGAGCCCTCTTCCCATCTCTACCCCAAAATTTGCTTTCCTCTTTAATAAATGGTAAAAATATATGCATAAAATGGTGGTTGTAAGATAGCTTGATAATTTATTGTTAGTAGATGGTTTATATACCTATTTTACATATCTCTATACCTAGGGTCTTAATTTTAAAAGAAAGTTCAGTGGAAAAAAGGGTCAGGACTGGAAAAGTTTAAGAAGCCAGATGCTAGCATTTTACAGCATGCAGCTCTGTCTTGAACAGGATTATTATTTTCCTGTTATGATTGGTACAGCATCTCAGTATCATTCTGCAATCCCTGTTAAGCCTGCCATCTTATCAAGCTATATAATATTTGCTTTGTTCTATGGGAAAATGTCAAGGCCTTAGAAAAATGAGTGAATTAAAAACGAGTTACAGAGTTGTCACAGTAATCGGGAAATGGTGGCACCTTAATCGGGACTGGTTGACAAGATAAGCTGTACAGAGTGTGAACTGCTCATCTGTGTAAATGTGGTTATTACAATTTTAGAATATAGTAAGTACAGCAGGGAACAGTACTGCCTCCTGCCAACGTTTGTAGTAGAACGTGCTTCAGGCCTCATCAGTGGGTGAGGTGCTTCTAAAGTTTGTCCAGTTAAGTAGAATACTGGATACTAGCAGTTTCCCTGGCTTCATTTCAGATTTATTTTGTTTGCTCTTCACTATCTAACTAGTAAAATAATTTGGCCTAACAGCAGACATTATTACATTTCTCTATTCTAAGTAAAAGTGAGGAAGAGTTAGTCCACATTCCTTAGTGTATACATTCATTGGTGTTTTATTCCCCTTAGAAGGGTTAGTTGCATTTGTATTTATAATTTTGTTTGTTTGTTTGTTTTGTTTTTCAAAACAGGGTTTCTCTGGGTTGCTTTGGAGACTATCGTAGAACTTGCTCTGGAGTTCTGGCTGGCCTCGAATTCACAGAGATTCACCTGCTACTGCCTCCCGAGTGCTGGGATTAAAGGCGTGCAGCACCATTGCCTGGTGTGTGTTTATAAATTCTTACAAACTCCTGCTTCACTAATCAGGTTTTTCTTTTCTTCTCTTTTGGAATTATTTTATATACTTGTTTTGCCTATAGCAGAATGGCCATTTGTCTGTTTCATCTCTGCATTTTGGTACATAGGACAGTGATGGAATGAACTGAACTGTGCAGCATAGTAAAGTGGCTTTGGTTTAGCTGGCATTTATAGAAAGGTTAGCCGGTCTGGTCTACAGAGCTAGTTCCAGGACAGGCTCCAAAACCACAGAGAAACCCTGTCTCGAAAAACCAAAAAAAAAAAGAAAGAAAGAAAGAAAGGTTAGCCAGAAGCATAGAGCAATTCCCATTGTCCCAAATAAACTCCGTTGTATTCTTGGAACCCTAGAGACATAGCATGTTCCCAGTAGGAAAAAGTAAAGACAAGACTATACTCTTTTCTTCTATTTTCAACAAGTATATTATGACTGGCAATAAATGCAATAAATATATAAATAAATTAATAAATAAATTGATATGGCCTTTGTTATAATAATAATTATGTAATAATTTTCTCAAAAGTGTAAAACTTCTCTTTTATTCATATGAAATTGAGATTTTAATACTACTAATATTTATATATGTCTCTGTGCAACAAGATTTTTGTCTTTTGCTATTACATTTAATAAAGCAAATATCAATTTTAAAATTATGTAAAACCAATGATTTTTGCCCATCAAAATCCCAGCAAAATTCTTAAAAAGACCTCGAAAGAATGATACTCAACTTCATTTGGAAAAGCAAAAAATCCAGCATAGCCAAAACAATCCTA